AATGGTGGTCATTTTTGGATTCAGCGCACCAAAAAACATAAAGATTACGTGGAATAACCAAAACAGCTCTCAGAATTTTTTTTGCAGAGCTGTGTAATATTTCTTCCAAACAGAATGATATGAAGACTTTTGTTTTCATATTAAAGACCATAGGCTCATATCAAAAGGATATCTCTACCATGGTGACCATCTTTGGTTTCAATTTGACAATTTCATACAATATTCCTCCATCACCACCTCCAAGAATGAGCACTTCTTTGTTGGTGTAATCTTCCTTTCCACTCCCCATTATAGCTTTTGTATATGCTAGGTCACTTTCTGCCAGATCTTAAAAAGCAGAAAAACAAACATATGAATATACGCAAACATAAAACCATCTTTTCATAACAATAACCATTTTAATACTTATAACTAATAAGTCAACTGACAATTTATATTATACAATGGGTATTATATATATATTTATAGTTGGTTAGTCTTACATTCCTCCTTTAGAAATTAACAAATTTGTAAGGGTAACTTTATAACTATAGGTAGTCCTCAGCTTACTATCTCAATTGAGCTCATAATTTCTATTGTTAAGACATTTGTTAAGTGAATTTTTGCTCCATTTTATGACCTTTCTTGCTACAGTTAAGTGAATCACTGTAATTATTTAGTAGCATGGTTGTTAAGTGAATCTGACTTCCTTATCGACTTTGCTTGTCAGACATTTGCAAAACTACAACCATCATAAATATGAACCAGCTGCCAAGCACCTGAATTTTGATCACAGACCTTGGAAATGCCGCAATGGTCGCAAGTGCGAAAAATAGTCGTAAGTTCAAATGGTCATTAAATGAACTGTTGTAAGTCAAGGACTACATGTAATAAGTAGAAATTTGAAAGAGGGGTAGATATTTTGCAACTCTCAAGACCTAATGCTTTGCTCTGACTAGTAGGCAAAAAGATATTGATTTATGTCAGCTGGTAGGTACCTGGACTACATGAATTCAAAGCTATATGTTCACTGCAACCTCATATTACACTGGTTAGAACTCTTTTCTGTCACCCAAGATAAATTTGTTCACATAATTCATTCAGCTATCATATCTCTGTTAAGAATGTTACATTATTTTACAATTAACCTTAATATAGTAAGATCAATAAAGAATAATTGTATATCACTGCAATTATATTTTATTTCAAATCATCCAAGAAAAAATGTGACAAGCATCTAATAATCCTTTCTTTCATGACATATGAATAAAATATCAATTAATTCTTACACAGAATAAATGTTTAGCAATTTAAGAAAAATAATCCTAGAAATAGACAATTCCAAGCCCTTAATAAGCCACGGATTATGGCTTGTATTCAGTCTAGTTGTATTTAGTTTAGAAACTTTGTCCGGACTGATTCAATAGCAAATGCATGTATTATATTTTAAACTGATAATACTCACTAACATCCCCACTGAGGATAAGAATATTTCCAAATTGTTTTGAATGTAAAATTTTAATATTCTGATAAACTGATTCTTCGTCGTATACAACTTCATCTATGTCATATTCCACCAATCGCCCATCTGCTGTAGGCCAGTATCTATCAATTGCATCCCCTCTCATAATGACTGGCAAGCTGAAAGGGGGGAAGGAAAAAGGGAGGGAGGGAGGGAGGGAGGGAAGGAGGGAGGGAGGGAAGGAAGGAAGGAAGGAAGGAAGGAAGGAAGGAAGGAAGGAAGGAAGGAAGGAAGAATGGACACATTTTATTATTGTCAGACAACCTTAAATGGCAGCTTTCTAAAGGGACTATTATGTATGAATAAATGATCCAATGCTAGAAGCAAAATACATATTTTAAACTAATAAATTAAATAAATTTAGTACATTTTCTTTACTATTTTCTAATTTCCAGTACTGGAAATTAGAAAATTACAATAAAGAAAACATATTAAAGTCTTTTACATTCTAAATTTACATTTAATTCTAAAATATCTAAACATATATTATATTCTCTTCAGAAATCTATTTTCTAATTTCCACCATATTTGTACCGTGTTTCCCTGGGTCTTATTTTCTTTTGCCCCACAAAATATGGCTTTGGGCTTATTATAGGGGGCGGGCTTATTGTTTTGGGGTTGCCGGGCAGCTGCTCCCTTGAGAGCGGGCTCCCAAAGAGCTGGGCACAGCCTCAGGGGCAAAGCAGCCATGAGGTGACCACGTTCACGAGCAACTGCCTGGCAAACCCCCTCTCCGCCGGGCACAGCACCATTCACTGACCTAAGGGGTATCCCTAAGGCGCCAAGGCATGTGGCGCTCTGCCTGCTCCCCAGATCCTGCGCTTTTGGCACATTAGGGATACCTCCTGGGTCAGTGCATGTAGCTCTGCCCGGCTGGAGAAGGGGGTAGTGCGAGCGCCTGTTCCACCCCCAGCAAGCACGCCTCCCAGCCTCACCATGCCCTGGCCCAGCTTTCCCTGCAGAGTCAGAGCACCACCGCCACAGCGCTCTGAGCATAACTTCTTCTCTGGCTACCAAACTCCAAAAGTCGGCTGCCAAGTTTTCCAGCAGCTGCTCTAGCAGTGCACTGTATGGTTGTGGGGCGGCTGCTGGACAGAGTCTTCCAGACAAAGAGTCTTCTGGACAGAGAGTCTTCCAGCAGCCAGCCCACAACCATACAGCACACTCCTAGAATGGCCACTGCTGGAAGACTCGGCAGCCGAGTTTTGGAGTTTGGAAGCCAGAAAAGAAGTTATGCTTGAAGTGTGGTGGAGGTGGCAGCAGCGCCCCCTAAGTCAGTGAATGGCGCTCTGCGCGGCTGGAGAGGAGGTTTGCCGGGTGGCTGCTTGTGAGGGTGGTCACCCCATGGCTGCTTCGCTCCTCAGGCTGTGCCCGGCTCTTCAGGAGGCAGCTTGCAAGGGAGCAGCCGCCTGGCAATTCCCCCCTCTGACCGAGAAGAACGCCACTCCCCAATCTAGCAGTATCCCGAAGGTGGCAAGCAATGTGAGCACCTTCCCCCCCCCAGCTCCCTTGGCATCTTCGTGATACCGCTAGGTTGCTGAGGGGTGCTCTGCCTGGCCGGAGGGGGTGTTATCCAGGGGGCTTATTTTCGGGGGTGCACTTATATTTTTGCCCATGCGAAAAACGTGGCAAGGCATTAGTTTCAGGACAGGTTGTATTTTCGGGGAAACATGGTAGTTTTTTGCATGTATTTAAACATATATTTACTAATGAGAAGTTTGTGTACAATATGACTTCAACGACTATACATGTCCATATACACTACTATTTCTTAAGCCGGGATATAAAGTATTAAATAGATTGCCAGGGAATTCTATTTCTGTTTGTTCTGAGTGCTATTAATACTACAATGTAAAAAAGATAGGAAATTAAAAGTTATGAATCGTATTTTCTTGATCACGGATAATTAAAAAAAACTTATTTCTACTCATTCTAATTAAAATTGTCATAATAATATATTCAGTAAAAAATTAAGGTACTGAAAAGTTTCTGGCAGAATTTCCTTATGTCCTTGATTAAAGAAGTTTCATGTAAATTTAAGGATTCAAAAAAAAAATCATTTTTGAATAAGCAGCAAAAAGGGTCACAACATACTTATTTTGTAAATTTATAAACAAATTAAATGGCCAGACAGATTTGGAAGAATATTTCCTTTGGGTTACTTAAAAATTTACAGAAATATGTACAAAGATTTTAAAACTGACTGCAAGAAATTTTCCTAAAGGAATTTCATATAGGGAAGTGTTGTTGATTAGGGAAAAAAAGGACATGAGAAGAGGGGACTTTGAAGGTTAACTAGAACAGAGTACCCCAATTATTCTGGGTTGGCGGCATGGAGCTGGGGAGGGAAGGGGGGAGGGAAGGGGGAAAGGGATGAGTTTGTGGGAGGGGAAAGCACATATGTGTGTGTGTGTGTGTGCATCAGCGCCTACAATGTTCATGGCAACCCTCGTGCAAGTGGGACCGTGAGCACCCATGAAAATGCTTGCACCAGTGATGACAGTTGTACCAGTGGATCCACGTGCCCATGAGGAGCACGAGTGGGGCCGCAAGCACCCACGAAGCTGCTTGCTAGTGGGGCCATGAGTGTCTGCGATGACATGAGTGGCTCTCCAAGCACCTGTGAGACTCATGCAAGGGGGACCATGAGCACCTAAAACCACGCTTGCATGAATGGGACTGCAAGTGCCCGTGATGACGCTTGCATGACTGGATCTGTGAACGCCCACAACATGAGCACGAGTGGGGCTGCAAATTTCCATGATGACACTTGTACAAGTGGATCTGCAAGCATGTGATGTGAACACGAGCGAGGCCACGAACACCTATGACACTCGCACAAGGGGTCACGAGCGCCCATGAAATCACTCACATGAATGGGGCCATGCGCATGGAGGTGCATGCACCGCCCGGCCCCTCATGTGGCCCAGTGGTGATTAGCTCGCAGCCTGGTAGTGGGCATGAACCACAGGCTGGGGACCCCTTGACTGGAGGGAACCAGAGAAAACTAAGATTTAAAATTAAAAGCAATAGAAACTCATTAATTCAAGGAAGCAATATTATTTGACTATGGAAAAATCCAAGGATACTTGGGAACAATACTCTCAGAAATTACTCTAAAAATTGTCCGTTACTATAAAATTGGATTTAAAAGATGCTATAGAAGCGGAACAGATTTTACTAGATAAAATAGAGGCTGCGGCTGATTTGAATATGAATCTGAAAGTGGATTTAAAAATGCCAGACTACAAAATTAATATGGAAAATGATGTCACACTGCATTTACAAATGAAACCGCCTGTTGTCTTAAAAATTAAGGGGGGGCATACAAATAAAAACCTTGTGAAGGAGTTTCTAAGAGGAGACAAAGAAAAAATTATAAGAAATCAACTTGTGGGACATTATTTGATGGGATTAAAGATCAATTAAAGAATAAAATTAAGTATAAGAAACACAGAGTGGACTTATTTGATCTAGGTTAATATATAGTATATATAGTATATTCATACATAAGAGATATTTTATTGACATATCACAGAAGTTACTGAAGTTGTATTTGTTATGTGGAGATGAGTTATTTTTTATATACATTAATTTTCTTTGCACTTTTAATTCTTAAAGTTTTACTTTTTATATTCTTCTTAGTTTGTATTAGTTTTTTATTTGTACACTTTAATAAAAATATTATAACAATTTTGGTTGCTTTCTCTTAATTTATATACATGGAAATAACAATCATCATAGAAGTCTATCCTTCAATATTAGCTAACTAAATAATGTTAGCACTGTATAAAAGCTTTATACTGTATATAACATAGTAGATAGTTTAACTTATTGCTTTGATTTCAGAGTAATTTATTCAGTCATGTCCTTCACTGTTATTCATATTTAAGAGATGTATGAAAGCACAAATTTCCTTACCGCTTTATCCTTTTGATACTTTTATGAAATAATTCTTTCATTTTTTCTTCTACTTTATTTAGAAGCTGCAGGAAAACATATGTGTATAAACCATAGTAAAAACACATTGTACTTAAGAATTTGATACCACTCTTATTATAAATATATGCATCATTTTTATTATTCAATCAATTTTTATAGGTTATGTTCAAGTACCAAAACATCTTCTTGAACATTACTTCAAATACAGATTTTTATATGCATCCTGAAGCAAAGCTGAAATTTTGCCCACTTTTATGTGATTCACTGAAACAGTTTTCAGTAAACAAATAAAAAAATGTTAATAGTTTGCATTATTTATTTGATTTATATTCCAATTCCCCCCCCCCCCCGACACAAAATTCTTAATGAAATGGTGATGCGTTGCCTTAGTCTTGAACTTTTACACTAGTATTTTATTTTCCCTTTTTCTGGTCATTCAGGTGACTTTTTATATTTATTTATTTACTGTTGACAAGGTCTTTTATATAATTTGTAATATAATAGTATAAAGGCTTGTTATCTAACTTCAATATTATGGAAGGAGACTAACAGTGAAAAATATAATACGCCTGATTATTGCATCTGCTTTTGTTTACCTGTTTTTATGTTTTACATATTCTAGGTATTGGCTGTAATGAACTGAAATTGAACTAAACTGATGCTAAATGCAAATCCTTAAAATTATCTGAGTAACTTTTGTGTTTTTCTGTTAGAATAATAGTAAGACTAACTCATCTTTTTTTTATAACTCATCTAATTAGATTCCATTATTTACATCATTTTCAACGTCACTCTCAAAAAGCTATGAAATAGATTCAAAAATCCTCTCTGAAAGAATGACTAAACTGGAAGAGTATGTAAAAATAAATCTGACAAAAAGAATTTACCATATTTTTCAGAGTATAAATGCTCTGAAGTATAAGTCACACTTAGCTTTTGGGGAGGAAAACAAGGGGGGAGGCTCTATCTCCTAGCAATTTGCCTCCTTGCAGCAAACAGCCTGTTTCAGTTTCAGTTTAGCCTGATTAGCACAAGGGGAAAAAATCTGATTCCCATTAATTTGCCTCCTTGTAAGCAAACAGCATGTTTCAGTTTCAATTTCAGCACAGCCTAATTAGCACAAGCGATTGTCATTTGGATCAACCTCCCGACGATCAGCTTCAAGTTCATTGATTAACTATAAGTAACTACATATTACATCATTTTTAAAATACTAAAATCAGTATTGATCTCTAAACAGAATGTAAATATCAGAAACGCTAGTTTAAGATTTAAGTTATCCTATACAATTGAAATGTTAAGACTTATGTACAGAGACTCTGACACTGAATATGGTTGTTCTCTATATAAAATTAGTCTGAATATAGTCTCCAAATGGAGTTACCGTATTTTTCAGAGTATAAGATGCACTTTCCCCTCCCCAAAAGGTGGTGAAAATTTGGGTGCATCTTATACACCGAATGTAGTCCTGCCCACACGCTGACCTCCACCCTTTGGCCTATTCCTCCCAGCAATTTGTCTCCTTGTAGCAAACAGCCTGTTTCAGTTTCAGCTTCAATCAGCCAGATTAGCACAAGAAGCTGATCGTCGGTTGGATTGGCCTCCCGACGATCAGCTGTTTCAGGCTGCAGAGATTGCCATATCTTATTGCCGCCTTCGTGTGCCACGTTTTCAGCCTCCACATGCCCATTTTTGGCGTCTGCGCACCCCATTTTCTGCCTGTTCCGGAAATCTTAAATCATAAACTAGCGTTTTTGATATTTACATTCTGTTTAGAGATCAATACTGATTTTAGTATTTAAAAATGATATAATACTTAGTTACTTACAGTTAATCAATCAGCTTCTGAAAAACTTTGATTTCTATATCTGTAAATTCCATTTATTCATTTGTATGTATTTAAACTTTTTCCTTTTTGATATCCTTATTGTTAATTTTTTTCAATAATGTTTTAAAATTAAAATAAAAAGTTAAAAAACATGTTGCACCATAGCAAAATAGTACTTTGCTTAGCATTTTCTTCACATAGCCACCCAAATGACCAAGGAAATTCAAGCTTAATAGCTCTTTCTTGCTGATCTCTTTTAGCAACAAATATTCAGAAATATGCACCATCTAATACTAAAGAAAATGATAACCACTGTAGTGGTGGGTTGTAGGTGGTACGCCCCGGTACGGACGTATCGGAACCTGCCTGGAGCATCGGGTACCGTTCTGGTACAGTGCTCCCGAGGGCCCACCCACCCACCTGAGCTCCTCACCTGTGCTTTAAGTCTTTGGTGCTTCCGCGCATGGCGTGTACAGCACCTGCGCAACGCTCCACCGAGAAGCTGGAATGTCGCAGAGGCTTGTGGAAGTGTTGCAGGCAAGTACGATGCATACATGCACCGTGCACATGTGTGCGTGTGCCGAAGCATATATGTGGGTGATGCTGGGGCCGTTCCAACCGTACCAGTTGGAATGGAATCCGGAACCCACCACTGAACCACTGTTACATGCTATATACCTATTATCTTCCTAAGTACCTACCTACTTACTCACCCATCATTCTATTATTCTCTTTAGGTATAAACAATGTTATAAAGAACACAGAAAACAATGAACAGTAAGCCAAAAATATTAAAGGCAGGAAAGAAGAAAAGGAAATGCTGTCAAAATTAACTTGACCAACAACCAACAAATAAATTTAAAATTTTTATATGATGACCCTTTGCATGAAAACCAAGTCAGATACGTTTTGTGGCTAGAAGGATTTAAGTTTAATAATTAATATCTAAACCAGGGGTGCCAAACTTGATTTCATTGAGGGCCGCATCAGGGTTGTGTTTGACCTCAGGGGGCCAGGGTGGGCATGGCGAGGATGGGCATGGCCAGCTTGAAGTCACTCATGTCGGGGGCGCCTGTGGGGGCCCAAGCGCTCTACCAGCGAAAACAGGGGGCGCCTGTGGCCCTCATGAACTCCATTTTTGTTGGCAGAGGCACCATGGGCCAGTCCTTCAGTTTCCAGTGTGGCCATGCACGCCAGATCTGGGCCCCGGGCCTTGAATTTGATACCCATAATCTAAACTCTCACTTTTGTTTCCTGGAGAGGGGGGATTTTTTGGCTGACTTTAAGTCAGCAATGACTGCTAACAACTGCTTAGAAAAGATCCTGTTTTTGCAAGATTTTTCAGAAGTGGTTTGCCATTGCTTGCTACAGCTAAGAAAGAATGTCCCAAAGGTACCCAGATAGCTAAGGTGCAACTAGAACTCATGGTCTGATGCATTAGCCAAGCCCGATGCTTAAAAACTACTCCAAACTGCCTCTCCTAAAAGATTTCACCTGGTTCAATTTACAATTTATCACTATAAACATGATACATGTATGACAAATGAGGGGGGAAGCTCAGCTAAAAATGTATTAACATATTTTTATTTCCTCTTAATTAAAATTATTTATTACTAAAATTAATAGTTTACCCACCTGTTCTGTTTCTTCTCTCTCATTCAAATCATTGCAACTCTGTACATCAACCAAAACCAAACCATGAAGATAAATTCTCAGATTCGCAAAGCTAGACAATAAAAAGAAAAGAAAGTATAAAGCCAGAATTTAATTTACTAAATAAAATCCTAATTTAAGAAGAATTAGTTTTAATTCATAAAACCGTATGTATATGCTAAAGAATAGGGATAAAGAATGGGTATTTTACTGCCTTGTTTTGTCTGCTAGCTTAATATTTTGTCATAATGTTGATAAACTTTCAAAACACAGTTTTAATAAATATGTTTAAAAAAATCTATACATCACATTGGGATTAAATAGTTAGTGCTCCAAGAAGAGCTAGCTTTCTCTGTATGTTAAGCAGGGTGCAATAGGGGTCTTTGAAAATAAACTATCACTTTTCCTCCGTTATTTGATTATACTTCAATGGATTGTTTTGATTAATTTCTGTATTCAATCACCCTTTTATATAAATGGGTGATGTTTTTAAATGTGTTATTATATATTTGATTTATTATTTTTGTTGTATAGTGTGAGAACACAGTTTTTTTTTAGTGGTCCTTTACATTCAAATAGCCAATCAATCAATCAATCCTTCAAGCTAAAACAGAACACACACTGATCTTTGAAAACATCTGGGCCACAAGACCCGTGATTCCAAAAACGTACAACTTCGTTAATGAAATACTATTTGTTTCTGAGCCCATGATGTTCTTAAAGTCATTCGCAGCTTTAGATCAGAGGTCACCAACTGGTGGTCCGTGATAAAAATTTTGGTGGTCCACAGTGCACCCAGGTGGAGGAACTGCTCCCGGATGACCAAGGCTAGTCCTCTGACTAGAGCTCTGAAATATGGGACCGGCCAGGCAGCTTGTGGTGGGGATGGAAATCTCCACCATAGAGGGAGGTACATGCAACTTGCAACTTTTTAAGAGGTGCAATGTGCAAGAGTAATGCAGCCCTCGCTGGCTGGAACGAGGTAATGAAGCTGTTGCATGGGGGGCACAGGCGGGCTGAAGCAACAGGAGAGAGGGGGGAGGGAGGGAGGGAGAGGGAAGAAGAAAGATGAGATGAGATCCCAGTGTTTTGTTCCAAATGGCTCTTTGAGTTTTTAAGGTTGCAGAAACAGGCAGCCAAGCTAAGTGCCTGAAGGACCCCATCCCATCACTGGGAGTCCAGGCGCTTCAGCAAGCAGCACGCTGGGTTCATATTAATGGTCTGCAGGATTTAAAATTATGAATTTAGTGGTCCCTGAGGTCCGAAAGGTGGTTGCCCCCTGCTTCAGATCATTCCTAAACAACTTTCTATTGCTGATAAGAAGAAAGGATACTGTATATATAGTATGCATTCGGTGTCTCTAGAAACATACTTAACATAGAACAGAGATTGATCTGGAACTCCCAAGAGAAAGCTTATTATCTGTTTTTCTGTCAGATGGCTAAAATCAGTATAGTAGGGCTCTGGAGATATAAACAAAATGGTGTTTAATTTGAAATGCTCAGCACATTTCATTATTGGTGATGTAACTGCTGACTTATTTTTGTATTTTGCACTTTCAATTTTATTTTACCTTACTGTTGTTAGTCTCCTTTTTTTGCATTTTTTTATTTTTAAACATAAAAAAACCAACATAAAAAAATTCTCATCCATTACATACAGCATGTCGTTTGGTTA